GTAGGTCTTGAAGAGCTCGTCGAGCTGGACGTAGTGCCCCTGGGCAGCACAAGGGTGATTCAACGTCGCTTTAACGTGCGTGTTCCGCGCGCGCGCGTTACGAGAAAAACCTCCACGCTTCGAGATCGTTCCGAGAGATGATCGTCCGTCCAAAAATCAGCCGAAACGAGTGGAAAACGGCCGAGATCGGAGCCTTTGAAGTTGGGAATTTCGCTCTCTTGTGCTGCCCTGTAGTGCGCCGTGAAGACGGCCTTGACCTTCTGCTGCTCCTGCTTGTCGGCCACCAAGGCCTCGAGGACGCGGTGCTTGCCCATGGCGAACCAGTCCTCGTGCATGGCCTCGTGGACGGCGTTGCGGTCCGGGAGCTGGCTCTTGATGACCTCGCGGAGCCGCGACCCTTTCCGCGCCATCGTGCCGCGCCGCTTGTCGGCCTCCATGGCCTCGAGGGCCGTGCGCTTCGCCTCCTGGGCGCTGTACTCGTCGCGCATGGCCTGCTCCCGGAAGGGCTTGCGCGGGTCGCTGAGCTCGAAGGCGATGGTGCTCCAGCGGGAGGTTTTGGGGTGGCCGGCGGCGTCGACGGCGACGCGCGGCGCGAGCGCGACGCACACCTCGGCGCCGTCCTCGAGCTGCTCGCCGAGGAGCGCCTCGGGGTGGAAGAAGGACGTGTCGCTCGTCGTGATGTTGCTCGGGATCAGCGCCGTGCCCGCGGCCTGCGCCTGCCGCGACTCGCGCATGCGCAGCGACCCCTTGGGGCTCTCGCTGCTGTAGCGCGCCGCGCTCACGAGGCCCAGCCACTTGAACGTCTTCTGCCCGTTGCCGCAGGGGATGCGGAACCGGCTCTCGCGCTGCCCGCACTTGACCGTCACGAGGAGGTGCATAGCTGCCCAGACGCTCTCCCTATAGCTAGCGCTGCGAGGCGCGTAGATACTAGGAGTGCAACGAGGCACCATTTACATGCTCGCCAAAGCAACTTTAATTTTGCCGCAAGAGTTTTTTTGATCAAGAGCTTGATGGACGGCGCCTCCGAGTAGCACCGCGCCGCCGAGAACCGCATCTCGCAGCAGCCGCAGCGCTGCGGCACATCATGGCGCCCGCGGCGCCAGCGCCCAACGACGCGCACCACTGCTTCTTCGCCGCGACGGACTGCGACGCGCCGGCCGGGGCCGACGGCACGGCGCGGGGGCGGGCGCCCTACTGCGACACGTTCCTACTCACGTCCGTGCGGTCCATCTGGATGCCGCGGTCCGGCTGCTGGCTCGTCTGCGTCATGATCGGCCTCTGGGCGACGACGTGCCCCGCGCCGAGCGTCGTGCAGGCGCTCCTGAGCGCGGGCGCGGCCGTCGGCGGCCTCACCGTGGGCCGGCGCTCCGAGGACGAGATCTACGGCCTGCCGACGGACGTCGCCAACGACCGCGCCGCCTTCGCCTTCTCCATCAACTTCATGGGCGCCTGCGTCGCCGTCGCGACGACGCTCGCGGTCCAGTTCCTCTCCGGCTTCGAGCTGGGGTAACTTGTGTGTTTCGCGTGTGTCGTCGTTAGGACGAGGAGCGTCTGGTGCGTCGATCTGGGCGAGCCGGGCTGGTCCGAGAGAGACTGCGTCACGCGTACGCTCCGACTCGTCGATGCGTCACCGGCCCGTCGATGACCCCGCGCGTCCTTCGCCGCGGCCGCCCCTGCTGGTTGTGAGGCGGATTCGAGACCGACGCGCGCGAAGAGAGGCCGCGCCTTAGAGCTTCATGCCGTAGCGGCTGCCGCGCTTCGCGGACGCGCGCTTCTTCCAGTCGCGCATAGCCGATCTCGATGTAGCGCAGGAGGCTGTCGACGTCCCAGGCGCCTGCATAGATCCGAGTCTGTCACGGTGGACGAGCAAAAGCGAGACGTGCCAAACAGCCTCTATTCGTTCAACGAGCTCCGCAAGTACATCAAGATAAAAAAGGCCATGCTGCCGAAGAAGGAAAACCAGCTCGCCCTTGACTCTAAAGAACCTGGGCGACACAGCTGGAGAGGCTCGACGTCGCGGCGCGTCACGAGCCGACTCTTTACGAAACGGTGGGCTGCGTGCTCGTCGGACTGGAGTCGCGAAGCGCGGTACGGCCGTTCGTATTGGGCTAGGTCAAGCGTTCCTTTTCCCGGGCGCTACTGCGTAGCGCCCAGGCGCAACTGCGTCGCGCCCGGGCGGCGCAAAGACCCCCCCACACGCTGCGCATCTCTCTGCGGCATTTGCCGCAGTGATGTGCGCGCCTCGGGTGTTTGAGTGAGCCCAAGGCCAGCGCCACCGACGCCCGACACTTGCCACAAGCACCCAAAACCATGGCCGCGCTCGCCGAGGACGACGCGACGGTCGACGACGCCGACGCGGAGCCCCCCCAGGAGTCGGCGCTCCGCCTGAGCCTCCTGGGCGACGAGGCGCACGTGGGCCTCTTCCTCCTGGCCGGCTGGGCGAAGCGCGAGGCGCGCGGCTGCAACTGGGAGCGCGTCGACGAGGGCGCGGCCGGGGACGCCGTGACCGCGGCCTTCGGGCGCCTCGTCGCGCGCGGCGGCGTCGTGCTCGTGTCCGAGCGCGTCGCGGCCGTCGCGCGCGAGGCCGTCGACGCCGAGCGGCGCCGCGGCGACGAGGAGGAACATCGCGGCGTCGTCGTCGTCGAGATCCCGTCGTCGGACGCGGCGCCGCGCGCGTCCTGCGCCCTCTTCGAGCCCAACGAGACGTGGTCCGGCCGCTGGGCGGCCGCGGACGCCGCGGGCGACGACGGCGGGCCGAAGCCGGTGGAGGCCCCCGCGGACGCGGCGGCGGAGGCGGCGACGCGGCGGCGCGTCGACGCGCTCGTGGCCACGCTCTTCCGCCTCGTCGCGCGCGACGGCGGCGGCGAGGCGGCGCCGGCGGGCGGCACGGCGCGCGCGTTCGAGCTCGAGGTGCTGAACGCGTGCACGACGGAGCTCGCGGAGCACCTGCAGGCGCCGAGCGGCGCGCGGCGCTTCGTCGAGGCGCTGAACCGCCAGCGGACGCGCATGGTCGACGTCGGCGCGGCCTACCCGTTCCTCGCCGGTTTGCTGCTGACGGCGCTCGACCGGTGCATGCGGCTGCGGGACGTCGACTCCATCCTCGTGTCCATGATGCTCGCCCAGTCCTTCTACCGGTCGCGGACCGGCGGCGGCGACGCGCCCGCCGCGCGGCGCGAGTACCTCAAGTCCGCGATCCAGACGCACCCCGTCTGGGGCGACGCGCTCTTCTGGCGCGAGGCGCTCGCGCTCTGCGTGTCCAAGCAGAACGCGCACCGGGCGGCGCCGGGCGACGACCCGGACGCCGGCGACGACCCGGGCTGCAGCCCGGGCCTCTTCGCCGCGCTCTTCTACGGCGCCGCGGACGACGGCAAGGCCGCGGCGGCGGACGCGCTCTGGTCCCAGCTCGGCGGCATCGTCCACGCCATGCACGAGTTCGGCGTCGCGCCCGACGCCATCGTCGCGTTCCTCGACGCGGTCTGCGCGGAGCACGCCATCGACGGCGAGCGCAAGCGCATCCTCGCGGACCACGTCGAGGCCATGATCCGGGAGGGCGCGTCGTAACGGCGGGGCGGCAGCAAAAGTGGCACTTAGGGCGACGGAGGCGTCGCGGCCGGGGGCGAAAGAAAAGAGGGGGGCGGGGGGCACACAGGGGGTCGCTCATCTCGCGGGGCCCCGGTCGCTCCGGTCGTTGGGGTCGACGACGCTCCGCGCGCCGACGCCCCTGAAGGGCGGGATGTGGAAGTCCTTCTCCTCGGGCGAGTGGGGCTTGCGCGGCTTCGCCGGCGTCGCGGCGATGGGCGAGTGGACGGAGTTGGGGCTGTCGTCGACGGACTCGTCGAGCTTGCCGTCGTCGCGCGACGCGTGCGTCCGCGCCGTGCCCTCGTCCGCGTCGCCGTCGAGCTTGGGCGCGAGGGACAGGAGGGACGCGGCGGAGCCCTGCGTCGACCGGGCGGCGCCGATGGCCGGCAGCGCGTCGCTCGAGCTGCCCGCGGGGTGGTGCGTGCGGCCCTTGATCGTCGGCGTCTTGTCGAAGGGCGCGCGGCGCTCGTCGCTCGCGCGGTCCGCCAGCCCGAAGAAGCCGCCCTCGGGCGACTGTGCCGGGCTCGGCGCCGGCGCCTTGACGGTGGACCGGCGCACGGCGTCGAAGACGGGCACGTCGGCGAGCGCCGTCGGCGCGACGCGGCGCTCGACGTCGATGACGAGGAGCGCGCCGACGAGCGCCTTGATGGACGGCTCCTGGAGCGTCGGCCGCCGGTGGAGCGCGCCCACGGTCTCGTGGAGCGCGTCGTGGAACCGCGCCGCGCTGTAGAGCAGGCCCGACGAGTAGCAGCGGTTGAGCCAGCCGTGCTCGAAGCCCTCGTGGCCCTCGGCCATCTCCAGCACGACGCACCCCAAACTCCAGACGTCGACCTTCTCCGCGTGGTAGAGGTCGTCGAACAGAATCTCCGGCGCGAAGAAGCCCGGCGACCCGACGAAGTCGCTCATGGCCCAGGACCCGTCCTTGGCCCGCCCGCAGAGCCCGAAGTCGCAGACCTTGACGACGACGTCGCCCGCGGCGACTTCGCCCGCAAGGAGCACGTTCTCGGGCTTGAGGTCGCGGTGGACGACGCCCCGCGCCGCGCAGTGGCCCAGCGCCCCGGCGACGGCGTAGGCGACGCGCAGCACGACGCCGACGCCGAAGCTCGCGTGCTCCGCGGTGAGCGCGTCGTAGAGGTCGCGGCCGCCCTTCTCCATGACAAGGTAGACGTACTTGGGCGTGTGGTACGTCGCCTCGAGGGTGCAGATCGCCGGGTGGTCCAGGGCGCGCATGGCCTCGATCTCGCTGTTGATGCGCTTGATGGACCGGATGCGCTTCCGGATGTCCGCGTCCGCGTAGACGCGCGCCTTGTTGATGCGCTTCGCCGCGAGCGCGGACTCCGGCTGGCCCGCGCGCCGGCAGAGGTAGACCTCGGCGAACTCGCCCCGCCCGAGGCCCTTGACGAGCTCGAAGTCCGCGATGCGCCGGCTCGTCTCCGGGTGCTTCTCCTCGGGCGGGATCGACGCCTGGGTCCGCCAGGCGCTCTCCGTCCAGTCGCCGGTCATCATGGTCCTCGGGGGGGCCGCGCGGGCCCCGGCGCCGGGGCCCGACGCAGCGCCCCGGCCCCGGACCGCGGGCGGCTCCGGGCGGCGACGCGCCCCGAACCGGGCGGCGGGGGCAGCGCGAGGCAGCCCCGACGAGAAGCCAGGCGCCCCTCCGAGGAGTGTCTGGGCCGCAGCGGTGGATGGGCCAGCTTTTCACTGAGGCCGACGGCGTAGCTTGAGAGATCGAGTGGCTGCGCGACGGCGGTTAATTGGTTTGCAACTTCTCGTGAACTTACAATTACGGCCGGCAATCTCGTGGCAACCATTTCCGCCACGTCGCCCACTTGAATTGAACACGAGTCGCGCTGTTCATTGGCCCCTGCAGCTGGCGCCCGCGCCGCCGGCGCGCCTGATGTCGTCGCCCGGACGGGGCAACCGCGAAGCCTCCGGGGCTCTCTCGCGCGCGCGCCCGCATATATATATGGTGAGATCGCGCGGCGTTACAAAAGGGGCGACGGCGGCACTTGCTAATCGACGGACCAAGTTGCAGTGAAATGTATCGCTCGGCTGAAACGTGTCTTTCGCTCGGGACGATGTGGTTGGCCGGCGGCGCGGGGCTGCGTCCGGGGTTCGGGGGGCGCGAACATGCTACACTCTTTCGGCTGCCGGCCGGAATCGGGGCGACGAGCGCGCGGTCTGAAAAGTGTAGCATGTTCGAGCACCCAGAACCTCGCCGCGGGGACCGCCTTGCGCGCGGGGGAGAGAGAGGGGAAAATGATCTCAGCTTCTGCGTGTTCCCGAAACGAGCGGGCTGAAGTTTTGGAATGCCCGACCCCGGATTCCCACTGCGAAGTGTGCTCAGTTTCTCTCCCCCTGGCCTGGAACATGCCAAACCCAGCATCAGAGATCGTGCGACCATCATCGACGACGTCCAACCACTTTTCGAAAGTAAAATTCTAGGTTCAATAAGTTAATGTTGCGTTCCGGCCGACGATTGGTAAGTGGGCGGCGCGCGCGGCCGGGCGCGGCGCCGCGGCCGCGCGGGCGCCGCGCGGTCCGCCGCCGTGGCGGGGGTAGCGGGGGGGGAGTGGGCGGGGCGGGCGCCGCCTTCACAGGCAGCCGCTATGGCGGAAGGACGCCCGGATGCGGCTCGCGCGCGCGTTCGTCTCGGCGCTGTCCTTGCCCTCCTCCTCGACGACCTCGGTGAGGAGGTCCTCGACGTCGCGGGGGTAGGATTGCGCGTCGTTCGCCGGGAGGACCTGGAGCTCCTCGTCGGTCGTCGCGGACGTCTCGGGGATCGTGTGGTCCATGGAGTTGGCGAGCGAGCCCGCGACGGCCCCCGCGGGCGGCGGGCCCGCGGCCGCGGGCGGCGCGTGCTCGGGCGTCGGGTCGAGCGTCGACGCCGTCTTGGACTTGGTCGCGCCGCTCTGGGCGATCATCTCCTTGAGCGCCGCGCCGCGGAGCGTGCCGTTCTTGACGTTCTCGTAGAGCTCCTGCGTCTTCTGCTTGTACGTCGCCGCGTCGACGGCCTGGAGCTGCTTCTGCTTGAAGCCCGTGTCGCCGTGGCCGTGGGGCGAGTCCGGCGCGACGGCGCCGGCCTTGGCCGGCTTGGGCGGCTCGAAGCCGCCGGGCGTGTGGTGCGCGTGCGCCTTCGCGCCCAATTCGTCCGTGCCGAGCGCGGCCGCGATGGACTCCATGAGGATGTCGTTCTTCTTGCGCAGGTAGTAGGACCAGAGCACGTCGCACATGGCCGGCTCCTGCTCGAGCATGGTCATCATCATCTCCGCGTTCGCGAGCACGGCCGGGTAGTCGTGGCAGAGCTCGCGGAAGTCGTCGCGGCTGAGCATCTGGAGCTCGCACCAGACGAGGGCGACGACGTCGACCGTGCGGTAGGGCGACGTCTTCGACACTAAAGCTGTCTCGCCGAAGAAGTTGCCCTCCTCGACCAGGGCCACGACGACGTCGTTCGACGACACGGCCGCCTTGCCGCGCGACAGCAGGAAGAGCTCGCGGCCGACCTCGCCCTGGCGGATGATGTAGTCGAAGGACCGCACGACGATCGAATTCAGCTTCAGCGCGGCCGCGGCGACGCAGCCGTTGGAGCAGCCCGCGAAGAGCGCCGTGTTCCTCAGCTCGCGGCCGTGGAAGTGCATGACGATCTCCTGCCGGAGGTGCGGGCTCAGCGACTCGTCCTTGAAGACCGTGCACCGGCTCGGCATCATGGCGCGCCACTGGTACTCCATGGCGCTCTTGACCTTCTCCGTGATGTGGTGGGGCACGCCGAAGTAGTTGAGCTCGTGCGACGCGCGGTCGATGCGAGAACGGTGCGACGTGTACGCGTTCGAGCTGTTGAGCAGGATGACGACGAGGTCCGCCTGCATGGTCCAGAAGAGCACCGTGCCGACCGTGACGGCGAGCACGCGGAGCCAGTAGTCGCCGACGCCGCCCGTGATCATCACCTCGTTGTAGTTGACGCCGTCGACGGTCGGCAGGCCGCCGACGATCATCGACACGACGCTCCCGATGGCCTCGATGTAGGCCACGCTCAGCTCGACGCAGTTCGGGTCGCCCTCGATGCCCCCGCTCAGGCGGCGGTGGTCGTCGTCCGCGTGGTAGTCGTCCGCGTGGTCGTCGTGGTAGTCGTCCGCGTGGTAGTCGTCGGCGTGGTCGTCGTAGCACGCGGGGTCGCCCGCGAGGCGCCGGTGGCCGTCGTCGTCGTAGCACCCGCCGGAGTCGTCCGTGCAGCCGCCGCCCGCCAGGCGCCGGTGGCCCGGCGAGCAGTAGTGGTCGTACCAGGCGTGGTCGTCCCAGTTGTGCTTCCACGCGCGGTTTCCGTGCGAGTCGACGTTGAGGTTCCCCGCGGGGACGTCCGGGTAGTACTTCTCGCAGGTGATGTGCTTGTAGTAGAGCCCGATGTACCAGCACGCGACGCAGTGGAGGAAGAAGAGGGTCATGAACGTGTGCTGGATGAACATGGCGAAGTTCACGTAGTGGCCTAAATACTTCTTGAGCTTGCCGATGCGCAAAAGCTTCGGGAGCTTCGCGAGCTTGATGACCTTGGCCGTCTTCCGGTGGCGCTTGTCTGCTCCCGTCCAGAACTCCTCGAAGGGAATGTTGCCGAACAGGTCGACCCAGAACCAGCCCGTGTTGTCCTTGAAGGGGTTCCCGTAAACGTAGTGCTCGACGATGTGGCGCCGGTCGTGGCACACGTGTCCGTGGTGGTCGACGAAGCTCGCGGTGAAGTTGACGACCATGTCGGCCCAGAAGATGGCGTCCATGGGTTTCTCGAAGTACCAGTAGTACTCCTTGTCCGGGTGCCAGAACTCGACGGTGACCTTGAGGGGCAGCGTGATGCACACCGCGAGCACGAGCAGGACGATGAGCACGTCCCAGCAGCGCTTCTGGACGCCCTCGGGGTTGTGCAACATGTCGAAGCTCCGCACCACCTCCATGGGCGTCGGCATCCGGCACTGGCCCTTCATGCCGCGGAACATGTCCTTGACGTCCTTCTTGTCGGCGTCGGCGCACTCCTGCATCACCGCCTCGATCGTCTTCCCCTTGACGCCCTCGAGGGTGAACATGGCCCCGTCCCGCTGGTTCACCGTCACCCGCGGCGCGTGGCCGCCGCCCCCGTGGCCGTGGCCGTCGCTGCCGCCCCGCCCCATGGCTCGACGAGCGCCTGTTCTGCCGCGCGCGGGCTGCGCCGGCGCGTCGGTGGGCGCGGGTCCGAGGCCAGGCGCCGGCGCCCTGCCGCTGCGGGGGCGCTCGCGACGCTCAGAAAATGACCTCGCCGCGCGGTCGCTCGACGGCGGTCGCCCCGAGCCCGTGCACCGAAGAGCACCACCACCGAGAGGCGGGGAGCCGCAGGCGGCGCTTTGGCTGGGAGAAACCAACAGGTTAAGATACTGCAGCATCAATATCTCATCAATGTTGTACTTGGGACCGCCCGCCCGCAAGATGGACGCAACTCCAAATAGGAAAAGACATAGAATGACCGCGCCCTGCACGAACGGCGCCCAGACCGGGGCCCGCGTGCACTGCATCGGCCAGCGGTGCTTGCTCCTCGCCGCAGCGTGCGTGATCGGCGGCGCAGATGCGCTTCTCACGTCGCCGCGCCGCGGGCCGAGGCGAGGCGCAGCGCTCGGCGCCAAGACCACGCAGACGATCTACATCACCGACGGCGTCGGCGACCCCTTTCCCATCAAGCCGCACAAGCCCAGGCGCGCGGCGAGCGGCAAGAAGGGCTTCGCCGCCGCGGCGGCGGCGGCGCCGGACGGCGCGTTCGGCAAGCTCTGCCGCTGGGTCGCGAAGAAGGGGGGCAAGAGCGACGGCGTGGCCGTGGGCGACGTCGGCGGCGGCCTGCGCGGCGTCGTCGCGACGCGGGACTTCGCCGTCGGCGACACGGTCTTCAGCGTGCCCAAGGCCGAGTGCGTGCTCTCCGAGGGCCGCGCGGACGCGTCGCCCGTCGCGGAGGTCTGGCGCGTCCTGCCCGCGCCGGCGCCGCACGTCCGCGTGGCGCTGCTGCTGCTCTACCTCGAGCGCGTCGAGCGCAAGGCCTGGGCGCCCCTGCTCGACGTGCTCCCGTCGCCGGCGGACCTGTCGGCGCCCGGGCCCATGCGGCTCTGGGCGCCGGCCGAGGTCGCGGAGACGCAGGACCCGCAGCTCGTGGAGCGCGTCGGCGCGCAGGTCGCGGCGGACGACGCCGCGTACGACGACGTGGTCGTGCCGGGCTGGACCGCGGCGGACTTTGGCGATCCGCCGACGCGGGACGCGTTCAAGATCGCCGTCGCGACAATCACGAGCCGCGCCAAGGGCGAGCGCACGGCCAAGGCGCAGCGGGAGCGCAGCTCCTACATGCTCGTGCCCCTCGCGGACCTCTGCAACCACCGCGACCCCGCGGGCAGCAACGCGGCCGAGGCGCTCGCGCCGTGGGGCCACTTCGTCGTCGCGGCGTCGCGGCGCGTGAGGGCCGGCGAGGAGATCCGCGTGTCCTACGGCGCGCTGCCGAACCGCGCGCTCCTCGCGCAGTTCGGCTTCCAGCTGCCGCTCGACGACGACGACGCGCCCCTGCTCGACGTCGCCGACGCGCTCGCGGCGGCGGACGCCGCGGCCGTCGACGCGTGCGCCGTCGAGGGGCTCCTCGCGCGCGACGCGCGCCGCGCCGTCGACCGCTGGCAGCGCGCGGGGCCGAACCTCGAGGCCGCGGCGGCGGCGCTGGGCATCGACTACGCGGCGCTCCTCGGCCGCGCGCTCGCGGCCTGCGCGACGACGCTCGAGGCGGACGAGGCCGCCGCGGCCGCGGGCGGCCAGGACCCGCGCCTCGCGGAGGCGCTCGCGTTCCGCATCCCGAACAAGGCGTACCTCGCCGCCCACGGGACGCCGCCCTAACCAGGACCCCCATAAACTTGGAAACTAAGAAACGTGCGCCGCTGCTCCTCGGAGAGGCTGGACCGTCGCGACTCGCGGCGGGGCCTCGGTGGCCTAAACTTCGGCGACCGGCGCCTCGACCCCCTCGGGCCGCTTGACCGGCGACGCGAAGGAGCTTCGGGAGAACCGCGAGCCGAGCGACGCCCGCGAGCTCCGGGAGGCGCGGGAGGCGCGGGAGGCGCGCGACGCCCGGCGCATGGCCTTCGTGAAGGTCTCGAGGGACATGCTGCCGCCCGCCTCGTCGCTCCCGCCGATCACGTCGTCGCAGACGTCGTCGTAGTCCACGTCGAGGGCCATGGTCGTGACCAGCGCGTACGTTCCGCCGAAGCTCTTCAGGAAGGCCTTGAGGTCCGCGCGGTCGATGCGCCCGTCGCGATCCTTGTCGATGAGGTCGAAGACCTCCGCGTAGTCCGACTTCTTCTGCCGTTTCGCGTAGCGGAGGTACGCCTCGAACGTGATGCCGCGCTCCGCCCGCATGTCCTCGAGCATGCGCCGCACGGCCTCGGCGTCCACGCCGAAGCGGTCCATGACGCCTTCGAGGTCCTCGGCCGTGATGAGCCTGCGAGGCTGCGGTGGTCAAGGGGGCTGCGGGAGGGGGCGGGGGCAGCGCACGAGGCTGCGGTGGTCAAGGGGGCTGCGGGAGGGGGCGGGGGCAGCGCACCCGTCGCCGTCTTGGTCGAACAATTCAAAGGCCTCGGCGGCCTCGGCGATCTCCTCCTCGCTCATGCCTTCGAGGGCGACGTGATCCGCGCCCTCGGCCATGACTGCGTGAATGGAAGCCGCGCGATCAGGCGTACAGCAGGATTGATGTGACGCGACAAAAGAAGTTTCGGCTTTGTCCTCAAGCAGGGAAAACTTCAAGGAAACATGCCTTCAAGTTTACTCGAGGAACTCGGCGTCGCCAACGACGCGGACCCCCACGAGGGAGAACGTGTTCGCCTCGGTGATCTCGACGTCGACCGTGCGGCCGACGAGGTCGTCCGCGTCGCCCTCGAAGAAGACGAGCTTGTTGCCCCGCGTCCGGCCGACGACCTGGGTCGGCGCGCGCGTGTTGCGCTGCTCGACGAGGACGGGCTCGACGCGGCCGAGGTAGCGCTCCGCGCGGCGCTTGACGTGGGCGTCGGACTTGGCGTTGATGCGCCGCAGGCGGTCCTCCTTGACGTCGTCGTCGCACTGCCTCGGCCCGACGGCCGTCAGAGGGTGGAACGCGGACCGCGGCGCGGCCGCGGCGCGGTCGAGCGCCGCGAGCGCGTCGGCCTTGGCCTTGACCGTGGCGTCCCAGGCGTCCTCGTCGTCGTCGCCGTTCCGCAGGGCCCCCAGGCGCGCCTCGGCCAGCGCCCGGAAGTCGCCGCGGACGCGCGCCTTCGCGTCGTCGACGGCCGTCTCGCGGTCCGCGAGCTTCGACACGTCGACGCCGAGCGTCGCGAAGGCGTCCGCGGCGCCGTCCCAGTGCGCCATGGGCGTGCCCGGCCGCGGCGAGTAGGCCGCCGTCATGCACGCGTCGAATTCGACGTCGTCCATCAACGCGAGCGTCGCCTCGAAGGCCGCCTCCGACTCGCCGGGGCAGCCGACGATGAAGTCGCTCGAGATCGTCGCGTCCGGCAGCCGTTTCCGGATCTTGGCGACGATGGACCGGTAGCGGTCCGCCGTGTAGCCCCGGCCCATCAAACGGAGCATCGCGTCGTCGCCCGACTGCGCGGGCATGTGGAACACGGGCATGATCACGTCGCCGTGGTCCGCGACGGCGTCGATGACGGCATCTGTAATATAGCGCGGGTGGCTCGTCACGAAGCGCACGCGCATGTCGCCGTGCCGCCGCGCGACGTCCGCGACGGCGGCGAGCAGGTCGTGGAAGTGGCGCCGGGGCCGCATGTCGCGGCCGTAGGCGTCGACGTTCTGGCCCAGGAGCGTGACCTCGCGGTAGCCCCGGTTCCCCAAGTCGTCGATCTCCGCCAGGATCTCGTCGGGCGCGCGCGACTGCTCGACGCCGCGCGTGTTGGGGACGACGCAGTACGTGCAGCGCTCGTTGCAGCCGTGCGTGATCGTCACCCAGGCGACGACGCCCGACGCGCGCCGCGGCGCCGTCGGCGCGTCGAGCGCCGCGCCCGACGCCGCACTGGACGTCGACGTCGCGCCGTACGACGCGGACGTCGCCGCGACCTGCTCGCCGTGGACCATCGCGCGCTCGAGCACGTCCGGCAGCCGGTTCGCGTACTGGGGCCCCATGACGACGTCGACCTCGGGCGCCCGTCGCAGCAGGCGCGCGCCCTCCTGCTGGGCCACGCAGCCCGCGACGACGATCGTCACGTCCTCGCCGTTGCGCTTCCGCTTCGCCTGGGGCCCCACGTAGGAGTAGACCTTCGTCTCGGCGTGCTCGCGGATGCTGCAGGTGTTGAGCACGACGACGTTGGCCAGCTTCGGGTCCGGGGCCTCGACGAGGCCGAGCTGCCGCAGCGACCCCTCGAGCCGCTCGCTGTCGGCCGCGTTCATCTGGCAGCCCATGGTCACCATCGCGTAGGTCTTGCCCGCGCAGGCGCCGGCGAGATCCGTCGCCGCGCCCCGGACCTTCTTCCGGGGCTTCGTGGCGAGGTCGAGGTCGTGCATCGCGTCGTCGACCTTGACGACGTGGAAGCCGAGGCCGCTCGCGACGACGGTGACGTCCCCGGGCTTCAACGGCTCGGCCATCACCGCAGCGCGCGCCTCCGCGGGGAGCATGCCGTCCGTCGCCAGCTGCTCGCCGGCCCCGTGCTCGACCCAGCCGATGCGGCCCTCCTCGCCGCCGGACACGGGCTCGAGGCTCATGGCTTTGGCCAGCGCGCCGAAGTCGCACGCCGCGGCCGCGGCGGCCAGCCGGAGCTCCCGCGCGACGTCCCGCGTCGCGACGACGATCTGCGACAGGTGCCGCGCGCGCTCGCCGCCGACGATGGCCGCGCTCGACGTCGACGTCCCGCGCGCGACGTTACCGGACCACCCGCCGTCGATGGGCACGTCGCGGACGCGCGCCGCGTCGCCCCAGCGCGCGCGCTTCTCCCGCACGACGAGGGCGCCGCCGCCCTTGCGCTTGAGGCGCGCGGCTTTCGCCTTCTCGTGCATCTCGGGCGACGCCCCGGGCGCGACGAGGCCCTGGCGCGCGAGCCAGTCCGCCGACGCCTCCCGGTCCGCCGGCGGCACCTGGCCCCGGCGCGACGACGGCTCCGTCGTCGAGTACAAGTGCGTGGAGGCGGTCCGCACGGGCGCGGGGGCCCGCAGGGCCAGCACGCCGACCGCCAGGCACGCGAACAGAGCTGGTCGCATCGCCTTGAAGCGTCAACACTTCCACCCCGCACGGCACCATCAAGGTACCGTATGTTCACGGTGCAGCGCCTGTTTGCGCCCCGGCATGGTCACCCTCGGGCAGCCCCAGCGCTAGCACCAAGCACTCAATGGCCCAGCGGTTCCGCGGCGGCGGCGGCGTCGCCGGCGCGCTCGGCGGCCTGCCGCCCGGCGCCGGGCGGAACCCGCCCGTGGACCCCGCGGCGGCCTTCGCGGCCTACAACCAGCGCGGCGGCCTGCCCGCCGTGCCCGGCGCGGCGCCGCGCGCGGCGAACCCGCCGCCGCGGCCGCCGGCGGAGGACGCGCGCAAGCAGGCGCCGGCGCCGCGCGAGGGCGGCGCGGCGCCGGAGGACGACGACCTCGCGCTCGTCCCGCGGCGGCCCGCGCGGGGCCTCGACGTCGGCCCCGAGTACGACCCGGGCCCGATCGTGAACCGCGCGGCCGACGTGCTCGTGTCCGTGCGGCGCGCGGAGCTCGAGCTCGCCGTCCAGCGGCGCACGCTCGTGGAGCTGCGCGAGGAGATCGCGGCGCTGCGCGAGGCGCGCGACCGCGACGCGCGGAACGAGGCGCCCGCCGCGGCCGCGGTCTACAAGGTCGCCGCGCGCCTGTCCACGGACGAGCGGCGCCTCGAGGAGTTCGCCAACGTCTTCAAGGCCATGGCGGACCGCATCAAGGTCCTCGAGCGCCAGTCCGAGGGCTATTTGGAGGTAGGCCAGCGGCGGCTCAACGCGCTCGAGGCGCGCCTCGGCGGCGTCGGCGACGTGGGCCAGCTCGCCGTGGCCGCGAAGCGGACGGCGGAGGAGGCGGCGAACAACTCCGTCGCCATCGAGCTCCAGGAGAACCATTTGGACGGCGTCAAGGCGGACGTCGCGCGCGTCGGCCAGGGCGTCGAGTCGTCGAAGAAGCTCGCGGAGCGCGTCCGCGACGAGGGCGCCAAGGTCGCGGACAACCTGCGGACGAGCCTGAGCGGCGCCGAGGCCCAGGCGCGCGCCGCGCTGACCGACGAGTCGTCCGCGCGGCGCGACGCGGTTGCAAGGGCCGAGGAGAACGCCGTCGCGAACGTCCGCGAGCTCGAGCGCCGCGAGCACGAGCGGTTCCTCGACGTGCAGACGACCATCGACGGCGTCGACGCCCGGGTCGTCCAGGAGGTGTCGGACCGCGAGAAGGCCGTCGGGGAGGTCGCGACGGACGTCGTCCGGCGGTGGGACGCGATCCACGAGGTGAGGGTCCAGGACCAGCAGGCGCGCCAGGCCGAGGGCGAGGCGCTGCGCACGGCCATCGCCCTCGCCCACCGCCAGACGAACCGCGCCGTCGACGATCTGGGCGACGAGGTCCGGGCCGCGAAGCGCGCCTTCGAGGACCGCGCGAAGACCGTCGAAAAGGCGGAGAGGGAGCGCATCGACGCGTACCAGAAGGTGGCGACGAAGCGCTTCGACGAGCTCGAGCGCGTGTTGAGCGCGGAGATCGCCGCGCGGCGCGACGGCGCGAGCAAGCTCGCCGCGCGCCAGGTCGCGGTGGAAGACGCGGCGCGCGACGACCTGCTCAAGTCGTGCTCGAAGCTCGGCGCGAGGATCGAGGACGTCGACCACCGCGTCGGCGACGGCCTCCGGGCCATGCAGGAGTCGGCGCTGACCACGGCCAAGGCCGTCGCCCAGTGTCGGGTGGAGCTCTCCGCCGCGGACGCGGCGCGCGGCGACCACGTCCGCGCCGCCGCGGACGCCGTCGCGGCGTCGCAGGACGCGAAGCGGGCCGCCGCCGTCGCCGCGGCGGACCTGCGGACGCTCGCGCTGGAGCACCGCGTGCGAGCCCTCGAGCGGGACGCCCTCCCGAAGCTCCGGGACGACTGCGACGCGGCCGTCGCGAACTGCCGGAAGGACGCGGAGGCGTGGTACCGCGGCGCGCGCGCGGCCGCCGCGGCGGCGTCGCGCCAGCTCGCCGACGACCTCGACGCCGCCGCGCGCACCGCGGCGGACGCGACGGCGACAGCGGACGCGAAGCACGACGCCTCGGCCGCGGCGCTCCGCGCGGCCGTCACGGTCGCGGCCGACGAGTCCCGGACCGCGCTCGAGGCCGCGCTCGCCGCCGAGGCGGGCCGCTTCCAGGCGAGCGTCGACGCCGCCGTCGCCGCGGCCCGCGCGCGGTCGTCGGCGCTCGCCGCGGCGACGCGCGGGGGGCTCGCGGACGCGGCCGCGGCGGTCGCCGCGCTCGACGCGCGCGAGCGCCGCGAGGCCGCGGCCGTGCGCGACCTCTTGGCCAAGAACGCGGCGTCCTGCGCGAGCGTCTGCGAGGGCCTCGTCGCCCGCGAGGCCGACGCGCGCGCGTCGGGCATCGCCGTCGCCGGGGCCGCGCTCGCGGCCGCCGCGGACACTCGCGGCGCGGCCGCGCGCGCGGTCGCCGACGCGCGCCACGACGGCGTGCTCCGGGCCCTCGACGACGCGCGGGGCGAGGCGGCCCAGGCGACGGCCGCCGAGGGCCGCGCCGCGCGGTCCGCCGCGCGCGCGATGGTCGAGGCCGAAGCGCGCGACCGGAAAACCGCGGACGCGGACGACGCCGAGGCCGCCCGCGCGCTCGTCGCCGCGACGGCGAAGCGGCTCGAGGCCCACACGGAGAGCCGCCACAGCGACGCGAAGACGCTCGCGCGCGCGCTCGTCGAAGACGAGGCCGCCGCGCGCGTGCGCGTGGCCGCGGACCTGCGCCTGGAAGCCGAGGAGCGCCGCCGGTCCAGGGAGCGCGAGGCCGCGGCGCGCGACGCCGCGGCCTACCTGCTGCACCGCGTCGCCGACGAGGCCCAGGGCGCCAAGAACGCCGCGCTGGCGAGGGAGATCGACGCGACGGAGGACCGGTCCCGGCGGCGCTTCGAGGCCAACGGCCGGCGCCTCCGGGCCGAGGCCGCGGACCGCGCGGCGGCCGACGACGCCCTCGACCGCCGGGACCACGCGCGCGCGGCGCTCGGCGCCGCGCTCGACCGCGTCGCCGACGGCGACGCGGCCGCGCGCCGCGCGCAGCTCGGCCGCGACGTCGACGCGTGCTCGCGGCGCTCCATGTCGCGGGACCAGGGCCTCGCGGCCGCGCTCGCCATCGAGAAGCGCGACCGCGAAGTCTCCGACGAGACCATCCAGCGCGAGCGCCTCGTGTCGCGCGCCGTGCGGTCGACGGTGAACCACGTCGCCGACGACGACCTCCAGCGCTGGAAGGACGACGAGGCGGACCGGCGGCTGCGCGCGGACGACGCGGGCGAAGCGGCGGCGCGCGCCTGGCGCGACAAGCAGGAGAAGGCGGCCGACGCCGACGCGACGGCGGCCTTTGCGTGGCGGACCAACGAGGAGAACTGGCGCCGCCGCTCCGACGACGCGGGCGAGGCCGCGGCCCGGGCCTGGCGCGACAAGCAGGAGCGCGCGGCGGACGCGGAGGCGACGGCGACGTCCGCGTGGCGGACCAACGAGACGGACCTCCGGGACCGCGCCGCGGCCGCGGAGGCCGCGGCGACGCTCGCCTGGCGCACGAACGAGGAGAACTGGCGCCGGCGCTCCGACGACGCAGGCGAGGCCGCGGCGCGCGCCTGGCGCGACGCGCGGGAGCGCGCGGCGGACGCGGAGGCGACAGCGACGGCCGCCTGGCGGAGCAACGAGACGGACAAGCGGGACCGCGCCGCCGACGCGGCCGCGACGGCCGCGGCGGCCTGGCGAGCGAACGAGGAAAGCTGGCGGCAGGCCGGCGACGACGCCGGGGAAGCGGCGGCCCAGGCCTGGCGCGACGCGCAGGCGCGCGCGACGGACGCGGAGGCGACGGCGAGCGCCGCGTGGCGCGAGAACGAGACGGACGCGCGGGGCCGCGCCGAGGCCGCGATCCACCGGCGGATCGACGACGAGGAGGAGACGCGGATCCACGGCGACGCGGCCCTCGGCGAGCGCATCGACGACGAGGAGGAGGAGCGCATCGGCGCCGACGCGGCGGCGCGCGCGGCGTCCGAGGAGGCCTTCGCCGACGCGCGAGCGCGCGCGGAGAGCGCCGCGGCGCTCGACCGCGCCGCGGACCGCGTCGCCGACGAGGCCCGGGCCGCGACGCTGCGAACCGTCTGCGACGCCATCGCCACGGACATCGCCGCGGAGAACGACCGGGCCCGCGCCGCCGAGGCGGCGCTCGCGTCGGAGGCGCGGTCGCAAAGGGCGGACGCGGCCGCGGACCGCGGCGCCGCGGCCGCCGCGGTCGCGGGCTCGCGCGCGCGCGCCGCGGCGTCGGACGCGGCCCTCGCGAGCGAGGCCGCGGAGCTCCAGCGTCGGCGGACGGACGACCAAGCCGCCCTGGCGGAGGCGGTGTCGACCCTCGAGGACGAGCTCGAGGACGCGGACCTGCGGCTGGCGGCGACGGCCGCGGCGGCCGACGCGGCGACGCGCGACGCGCTCTTCGCGACGGACGCCCGCCTGGGCGATTCCCTCGACGAGCGCGCGTCGGCGCTCGCCGGGCGCGTCGACGACGAGGTGCGGGACCGCGTCGCGGCGCTCGCGGCGCACGCGGAGAAGACCGACGAGACGACGTCCGCCTTGGGCGTCGACGTCGCCGAGGCGCGGACGGCCGCGGCGGCGCTCACGTCCGACGTCGAGGTCAAGTTGCTGGCGCGGACGTCGGAGCTCGAGGCGAAGCTCGAGGAGGACCTCGCGAGCCGCGGGTCGTCGCTCGAGGCGCGCGCGGCCGAGCTCGAGGAGAAGCTCGCCGAGGAGGCGACGAGCCGCGGCGCGGACTTCCAGCGGGTCACGGAGGACCTCGAGGCCAAGGCGGCGGCGCTCACCGACGCCGTCGCCGCCGAGGCCGCCGCGCGCGACTCCGCGCTCGTCGCCGCCAAGGACGCGGAGCAGCAGCGGTTCTACGAGACGACCCAGGAGAACGAGGAGAAGCGCGACGCCCTCAAGGCCGAGCTCACCGAGGCGCTCGCCGCGGAATCGGCCGCGCGGACCGAGGCGCTGGCCTCCGAGACGGCCGCGCGGGCCGAGGCGCTCGCCTCCGAGACGGCCGCGCGGGCCGAGCTCTCGAAGGAGGTCGGCCTCCTGGACGCGACGCTCGAGGAGCGGTGCAGCGGCCTGGACCACAAGATCGACGAGGAGATCCGCGCCGCGGGCGCGTCGTCGACGGACGCGCTCCAGGTGCTCAAGGACGAGATCGCGACGACCGAGGAGGTCAAGCGCGCGGAGCTCTCCGCGAAGCTCTCGGAGGATTTGGACGGCAAATTTGGCGCGCTCGAGTCCAAGGTCGAGGACGCCGACGCCAAGGCCAAGGCGCTCGAGACCAAGCTGGCCGACGTGGAGCACAAGCTCGCGGACGAGGCGTCGAGCCGCGCCGCGGCCGTCGACGGCTGCAAGGCCGCCGCGGAGGCCAAGGTCGCGGCGCTCAAGTCGGAGCTCACCGACGACGTCTCGAAGCGCGTCGGCGACGTGAAGGCGTCCCTCGAGGCCGAGATCCGCGACGCCAGGGAGAAGGCGGACAAGGCGGAGAAGAGCGCGGACAAGGCGGGGAAGGAGGCCGCGAAGGCGTCGACGTTCGAGGAGCCGCCGTCCGACGACGACGGCCCCGAGAAGGAGACGCCGCCCCAAGAGGAACCCAAAAAGGACGACTAAGGTTTAGTCGAGGAAGCTCCGCGGCGTGCTCTCCTCGACGGCGTCGAGCGCCTCGGCGACGACGTCGGCCGCGGGCCGCCAGCGTTCCGGGAGCAGCGCCACGATCCGCCGCAGGACGAGGACGACGGCGCCGCGGCACGCGAGCGCGACGGCCGGGAGCTCGAGCGCGCGCGCGTGCGCGACGACGAGCGCCGCAGCGCGCCGCGCGGCGTCGACGATTTCGAGGCCGCCCGCGTCGAAGACCGCCGCGGGGACCAGGCCGCCGTAGTAGGCGCCCGCGCCGCCCGCCGCGGCCGCAACGACGGCCGCGACGCCCGTCGTCGTCCGCGCCAGCGCCCGGCGGCTCTCGGCGGCGTCGTCGGCGATCCACCCCAGCGTCGCCGGGTCCCGGGGCTTCGCGCGCGCGTCCACGGACCGCGGCGGGCCGCGCGGCGTGCCGTCGGGCCGCGTCGCGGGCCGCGCGGGCGGCGGGCCGCGGCGGCCCGGGTGCCCCGGCGGCGGCGCGCGCGCGCCGGGCGGCGGCCGCCGCCGGCCCGGCTTCTTCGGCACGCGGACGATGGCGCACTGCTTCGTGACCTCGCGCGCCCACTCGGCCTCCTCCTCGGCCCACGTCTTGTAGACGACGGCCGGCGCGGCGCTCGCCGTCGCCTCGGCGACGACGGTCGCGACCTTGGCCGTGCGCCGCGCCGTGCGCTTCATCTTCGTCCCCACGAAACGGCTCGCGCGCCACCGGTGCGGCCGCAGGTGCCGCTTCCACGTCTTCTTCTTCCCGTCGCCGGGCGGCGGCGCGCCGGAGTCGTAGTAGGAGTGCTGCGGCGGCGCTCCGTAGTGCGGCGGCGGCGGCGCGTAGGGCGCGTAGCCGTAGGTTCGGGGCGGCGGCGGCGGCGCGGCGCCGGGCCGCGGCGGCGTCGGCGGCGGCGGCGCGGCGCCGGGCCGCGGCGGCTGCGGCGGCATCGGCCGCGGCGGCGCGGGCGCCTCGTCGGCGGCCGCCGCGGCGGCCGCGGGACCGGCCGGCCGACCGGCGAACGCCTGGGCGTCGGGCGCTATTCGCCGGCCCTCGAGGAACCGCGCGACCTCCGCCGCCGCGTAGGGCCCGCGCACGACGCCGTCGGGGCACCGCACGAACCAGCCGCCGCCCTCGCGCACGTCGCGCGCCGCGCGCGGCGACGGCGACAGCTCGACGACCTCGTAGCCTGCGGGCACCGACGGCGGCGGCGCGTCGAGCGGGCCGTGCAGCGCCTTCGTCCGCGCGTCGCGCACGTAGATGCGACCCTGCCGTGGGCTTCGCGGGGTCGATGCAAAGGTGAGCGTTGCCAGGAAGGCGCAGCAGGCGAAGCGTGCGCGCATCGCGCTCTTGCCGCAAGCGACCCGCCGACCTTGCCGGCACCAGCGACGCGCGGCCACTCGGCGCCGCCGCACGATGGCGGACGAGCAATCGAGCTCGCAAGCGCCCGACGCCCCGCCGCCATCCATCCTCAACGCCGCGCCTCCCACGATGCCGCCGCCGCCGCTCGTGGCAAACGCCGGGCCGCCGCCGCCGCTCGTGGCGAACGCCGGGCCGCCGCCGCCGCTCGTGGCAAACTCCGGCCCGCCGCCGCCGCCGCGCGCCGTCGCGGCGCCGGCGGACGGCGACGACTCGGACACGGAGGTCATCTACGTCGCCATCGACCTGCCCAAGGGGTCGAAGGTGCCGGCGGACTTCAGCATCCAGCACCTCAAGAACTTGTCGTCGTCGCGGCCGACGCTCGAGCTCGCCGGGCGGTCGCACGCGGGCAAGTACGAGATGCCCCTCGGCACGCACTACTTCTTCACGGAGAAGGAGCTCACGACGGCCCAGGAGGTCGGCGCGAAGCGGCGGCGCGAGGAGGCCGCGGCCGCGGGCGAGACCGCGGTCGCGGACGAGGACCAGCCCGAGTACGAGTACACGGGCCGCATCGACCGCATCCTCACCTTCGACTGACGTCGTAGTAAAGCCCGGTGTGTGTGCAGTTGTCTTTAGGGAGGATTTATGTTGAACTTCAACATCGAACGTGCCCCTCTGATGAAGTTTCGAGCAGCCCATTTGGAAGACCATGCTTCTCATGCGCGTCGTGTGGTGGCTCCTGCTCTCCAGAGCACTGGCGCAGACGGCCGAGCCACCCGTCGGCGCGGCGCAGATCGCACCGATCACAAGAGCACTGGCGCAGACGGCCGAGCCACCCGTCGGCGCGGCGCAGATCGCACCGATCACACACTGGACGGCGTCGAGCTCCACGGGCCTCGCCCTGCGCCAGGTCTCCGTGCCCGGCGACCTCATCAGCGACCTCGAACGTAACAACATCATCGGCGACCCGCTCTACGAGCGCACCTTCCTCGAGGGCGAGCCGCTCTGGAACGAGGCCACGTGGACCTACGCGGCGACCTTCGCCGGCTCACCCGCGGCGCGCGCGACGCTGGTCTTCGAGGGCGTGAAGATGCACGCGGTCGTCTCCGTCAACGGCGTCGTCGTCGGCGCCGCGGCGGACCAGTTCCTGCGCTACGCCTTCGACCTGAGGAACGCCACGCGCGACCTCCTGCGAGCGACGAACGTCGTCGAGGTCGCGTTCGCGCCGGGCGAGGACGTCGGCGGCCGCTTCATGGCCTGCACGGGCGGCTGGGACTGGGCGCCCTACAGCCACACGTTCCTCAACGGGTCCCACACCTTCTCCAAGGGGCTCTGGAGAGAGGTCTACCTCGCGACGTCGCCGGGCGTCGTCGTCGACCACGTCTCCCCCTCGATCGCCTACAAGGGCGCCTACCCGACGGCGCGCCTCGCGGACGGCGGCCACGGCGGCTTCCGCGTCGACGTCCGCGTCCACGTCTCCGCGGACCGCCGCGCGCCCGCGAAAATCTCGCTGCGCACGGCCTGGGGCGCGGCCGCGGCCGCGGACGTCGTCCTCGAGGCCGGCGCGTCGACGGTGTCGCTGTCCGTCGACGCGGACGACGTCCGGCTCTGGTGGCCCAGCGGCCTCGGCGCGCAGCCGCTCTACGGCCTCAACGTTACCGTCGCCGCGGGCGGCGCCGACGTCGTCGTCCGGCGCCGCGTCGGCTTCCGCTATTTCGCGCTCGTCACCGGCGACGACACCGATCCCGCGTACGTCGCCGCGGCCGCGGACGAGACGGGCACGGCCTCCCACGGCATGTACTTCCGCGTCAACGGCGTCGCGTTCTTCGCGCGCGGCGCGAACGTCATCCCCATGGAGGAGCTCGAGGGCCGCGCGACCGCCGCGGCGTACCGGCGCATGGTCGCGTCCGCGCGGGACGCGCGCTTCAACACGCTCCGGGTCTGGGGCGGCGGCATCTTCTTCCCCTTTGCCTTCTACGACGCCTGCGACGAGCTCGGGCTCCTCGTGTACCACGACCTCCAGTACGCGCAGGAGGGCCACGCGCCCGCGGCGACGGCGACGCAGGAGGCGGAGCTGCGGCACCAGGTCCGCCGGCTGAGCGCGCGCCGGCGTTTTCCGGTGAGAGCAGCCATGTTTCCGGCCTCGCCTCGCCGAGAGAGAGCGCGGCCATCGTCGCTTTTCGGCCTTCGCCGAGAGAGAGCGAGCGACGCGTTCGTAGGCGCGCACGCGTCCATCGCCATCTGGGACGGCTGCAACGAGTGCCAGGTGTTGATGCACACGCCGACGGCGATCTACGCGACGTTCGCGCTGCGCGTCGTCGCGGAGGAGGACCGCTCGCGGTCCGTCTGGCCGTCGTGCCCCGCGCGCGGCTGGGCGTCGGGCGTCCGGCGCCTCGACGCGCGGCCCACGGGCGAGCCGCTCGTCACGCTGAACCTGTCCTCGCCGGAGATCGAGACGCACGGCCCCTACCAGCACGGCACGGGCTTCCCCGCGGTCAACGGCGCGTCCGCCTACGAAAGCTTCGACCCGAAGCTCCCCGTGCCGATCTCGACGTCGGCCGTGGGGTTGCAGCATCCGAACGTCTTCGCGAGCGAGTTCGGCGTCATCGCCTACTCGTCCTTCGAGTCGACGGCGCCGACGCTCGCGGAGGCCCACTGGGGCCTCCACGGCGGCGAGCCGAGCGACGCGTGCACTTCCGAGTTCGCGAACACCTGCGCGGGCACGAACGTCATGGCCGAGCGCAACTACCCCTGCGACAACCTCATCGGCGTCTACTTCAACAACGAGACGAGCCTGGACCCCTACCTCAACGCGACGGGCGAGGCGCGCTTCAAGAGACAGCTCTATCAGTGCCTCCTGTCGCACGCGCTCTGGACGAAAGCCACCATCGAGGCGCGGCGGTCGCGCAACGAGCTCGGCTGCCTCGTCTGGCAGCTCAACGAGATCTGGCCCACGGGCGGCTGGGGGTCGCTCGAGTACGGCACCGTGGGCCACACGCCGGGCCAGGTCCTCGGCGGCCGCTGGAAGCCGCTGCACTACTGGTACAAGCGGTTCCTCTACGGCGACGTCCTCGCGACCTGCGGCGCGGGCGGCTGCTACGTGCGCAACGACCGCGGCGGCGCGCCCTTCGACGGGACCGTCGTCGTCGAAGCCCTGGACCTCGCGTCCGGGCGACTGTCGCATGTGCAGACGGAGCGCGCGGACCTCGGGCCGGGCCCCGCGGCGATCCACTTCTTCGACCTCGCGCGCGACGTCGACGGCGCCCGCGAGATCCTCGTGATCTCCTGCGTCGAGCAGGGCGAGGTCGTCGCGCGGAACGAGGCGCCGTTCGCGACGCCCGGGCGCCTCGCGCTCCCCGCCGCGCGCGTCGCGCTGAGCGTCGCCAACGACACGGTGTCGCTGTCGACGAACGCGACGGCGCTCTACGTGACGCTGACGACGCTGGCCAACGGCGCCTTCGACGACAACAGCTTCCTCCTCCTGCCCTCGGAGCCGCGGTCCGTCCGCTTCCTCCCCTTCGATTCATTCGACGCCGCGCTTCTCGCGCGGTCGCTCCGGGTCGAGCACCTCGCGGAGAACCAGGGCCTGGGGGTGTAGCTGGCAGCACGTTTCTGAGATTTCTCGGCGAGACACCCGCCTGCTGCTTCTCGTAGTGGGCTTGCTCGCTTCTCCACATGAGCTCTCGGAAGCGCGCGGTCATCGTCCTTTGGCCATGGCCCGAGCTTGGCCGGGGTCCGCGGCGGGTGCCGACGCCGCCGCAGTGCCCTCGAGCGTGGGGTCTATCTCGTCGTCGGGCGCGCGCCGCATCGACCACACCGCTCGTTTTTTTTGCGCGCCGCAGCGTCCCAGGGCCACGTGAACACGGCGCTCGTTGGCCCGAGGTGCGCCGACGCGCCGCTTCCCCGCAGGTCCCGGTCGAAGTCCTCCAAGCTCCCCGCTGCGGCTCGGCGTCGCACTCGTCGCCAAGCAGCTCCACGTCCTCGCGTGACCCCAGCGTCTTGAGCACAGCGCGGCGCGCGCGCGCGGCGCCGTCGGGCCCACGGCCCCGCCCCGGCGGCCGCTCTCGGCGCGTCGACGGCGGCGACGGGTCGACGCTTCGTCGGGCGCGCGCCGCGCAGGTGCCCCCCGCCCTCCGGCCCACGAGCGCGTGCCCCACGCAGGTGCCGTCGCGCCGCGCCACCTCGTGCCGCCGCACCTGCACCGCCTCGCCCCTGCCCGTCGGGTATGAAAAATCTTTTGGTGCTATTTGTATTTCGCACCGTAGTTTTTGGTGGAGCGCTAGTACAGCGCCGAATTCCCTCGCGGACTGGACGAACCGGTTCGGTAACGAATGCTCCATTACGGGAATATAATGCACGGCATGGGGAACCCAAATTACGCGGTGCACCTCGGGCCGCTTCGGCTCCAGGCCCCAATTTACTCATCATCCTTGCGGACGACCTTGGTGTGGGCGATGTCCGAAGCCTGCCGTCGGTCTCCAAGCTCGCAGCACGTGGTGTCAACTTCACGGACGCACACTCGCAACCTCTGTGCAGTCCCTCGCGTTACGCCCTCCTCAGCGGCCGGCATCCGAACGAACGCCGGCCCGGGTTGAGTGGTTGGGGCCCAGGCGCAAAATCAGCTTTCAGGGACAACCAACGGTCACTTGCAGCTCCGCTGTCAGCCGCAGGCTATCGGACTGGATTTTTCGGCAAATGGGGTGTCGGAGGACAGCCAGAAGGCATGGGATCCAGGCCGGATTTGAGTTGGTATGAGCGATCCACCTGGGTTCTATCGCCCGAGGCACGTGCATTCGGTCATCGCCTCCAAGGAGGGCCTCGATGGCACGGATTTGAAACATCATTAATATTGCCCTCCGGAATCCAAGCTCCACCCTTCGCTTGGTTCCGCGACGACGTGCTTATGGGCGACCCGGCTCGAGACGCGACTAAATGGCTAGAGCGGGTGGTGGACGAAAGGATTCTTCGAAGCGGACGATCACCACAGCGTGGAGGGCGTTGACACGTAATAAATGCGGTTTTCCATCACCTCGGCCTGACGTCTGTCCGCGTGCTCGATTGCTACGACATCGGCGAATTTTGGGACTACCTCAGTGAAGGAATTCCCAGGGACGGGCCAGAAGCGGCAATCGAGGCCCTCCTCAAAAGCCGCGGCGGCCGCTTTGCAGACCCTGACGAACTCTTCATGAGGGGATACTGAGTCGCGCGCGCTGCTGCTCCCCTGCCCTGGCGGCGGCTTCACCACCACTGGCACCAGGGAACATCCCACGGACTTTTCAGAGCGCGAGTCCACTCTATAGCAAGCTCGCGCCGTTTAGCTCTCACGCGCGCGCACGGGGCCCGGGGAGGGGAGAAAATGCCCGCGCGTCGTCAGAGCGCGAGGAAGGGGAGCTCGCCGGCGACGGCGTCCGCGAGCGCCGCGTCCGTGGACTTGATGTCGACCTTGAGGCTCTTGCCGTCCTTGAGCTTGGCGAGGAGCGCGAGGTGGGCGCCGCCCCGCGCGACGGCGTACATGGACGCGGAGCTCGCCTGGCGCTCGACGACGGACGCGTTCAGCGCGGCCGCGACGGCGTCGATGGGGTCGCGCTTCGCGGACTTGCACGAGAGCTTGGCGGCCGCGCCGTGCCAGCTGTGGGTCGTGAGGAGCGTGGCGAAGGCGCCCGCGTCGATGGCCTTGGACGACAGCGAGAGCTTCACGGGCAGCGCGAGCTTCACGGGCACCTGCGCGCGGGGGCGGTCGCGGGCGCGGCGCGGTATTCCGATGGCAGTTTGAAGAAACCAGCGCGGCCTCGTTTCGTTCCTCGTCTCTTCAGACGCGCGGCGTTACTCGCGCGTCCGCTTGCAGTTAAAAAGCTTGGTTGTTCGGCGGTTCGTCCCCGGCCGCGGATCTCTCGGGAAAAAAGACACGGACGCGGCGCTCGCGCCTGGACGAGGTCCGCGACGAGGCCCTCGACGTAGTAGGCGACGACGGCGTCGAGGACGGGCGCGGCGCCCGCGTCCGGCGCCGGGCCGACGCCCCGGAGCGTCGCGGACGCGGACGCGCCCGCGGGCAGCGACGCGGCGATGGTCAGCGCGCCGCTACTCGCGAGCGCGACGCCGGCGCTCGCGCTCGGCGCGAGGGACACGTTGGAGAAGAGGTCCGACGCCGACGTGTTCGACACCTTGACCTCCAGGCCGTCGGCGGCCGCGCGGTAGTCCGCGCGCATCGCGCCCTGGGAGAAGAGCGGCTTGTAGCCGCCGGCGGCCTTCTTCGCCGGCTTCGCCGCGGGCTTCGCCGCGGGCGGCGCGGCGCCGAGGCCGTCGCCGAGGAGGTCGAAGTTCTCGAAGGACTCGACGCGCGGCGCCGCGGCCGCGGGCTTCGACGACGCCGCGGGGATCTGCGGGCCGCCGCCGAAGTCGAGGAGGTCGAGGAGGTCGCCGCCGCCGCCGGCGGCCGCGGCTTTCGAGGCCTTCTTCTCCTTCTTCTTCTTGGGCTCCTTGGCCTTCTTCTCCTTCTTGGCCTTGTCCTTCTTGGGCTTGTCCACGGGCGCGGGCGGCGGCGCGGAGCCGCCGAGGTACATGACGTCGTCGCCGCGGGTTTGCGGCGGCGCGCCGGGCGCGGCGGCGACGACGCGGTGGCGCTGGCTCGGCATGACCTCGTCGTCGCGCAGGGGCGTCGTGATGTCGATCTGCGACAGGTCCGTCGCGTCCATGTCGAGGAGCGCGTTCGTCGCGAGGCCCTTCTTCTTCTTCTTGTCCTTCCGCTTCTTCTTCGCCTCGTCGTCGGAATTCAACGCGCCCTCGGGCATCAACTCGAAGACGTCGACGTCGCCGCGCTGGACCTTGCGGCCCTTCTTCTTCTTCTCCTTCTTCGACTTTTTGTCCTTCTTGAGGTCCGCGGCCGTGAGGCGGACGACGGGCACGTCGTCGACGGAGACGTCGTCGGGGTCGACGGACCGGCCCGCGAGGTAGAAGGGGTCGTCGGTGTCGCGGTCCGCGGGCGCCGGCGCGTCATCGCCCCGCTTCTTCTTGTCCTTCTTCTTCTTCTTCTTCGTCTTCTTCGCGGCCTCGTCGTCGCCGCCGTCGTCGCTGTCGTCGCTGCCGCGCAAATCCAGCCCCTCGAAGCGCGGGCCGCCGCGCTCCTCGAAGTCGTCGCCGAGGTAGCCGTCATCATTATCACCGCCGTAGGTCGGCGGCGCGTCGACGAAGTGGACGCGGCCCAGCGGGTCCTTGTCGGACTTTGCCATCGCTTCCTCGTCCGGGTCCGCGGCCGCGAAGAACGCGTCGAGCGCCGCGCCGTTGAGCGCCAGCCCCAGGTCGATGTCCGCGGGCGCGGGCACGCGGCCCTGGGCCTTGGGGTTCACGGGCACCATCTTCTCCGCGGCGATGGCCGACAGCGAGCCCGCCGCGGCCTTGGCCGCGGCCAAATCCGCCAAATCCTCGACGACGACCGTCGGCGCCGGCGCCGGCCGCGCGTCCCCCTCCTCGTCGCTGTCGTCGTCGTCGCGCGGCGGCGGCGCCTTCGCCTCCACCAAGCGCTCCGTGGGCTTTAATGCGCCAAAAGCGACCAACAGCCCGCGGAACGCCGTCGCGCGCTCCTGCACCTCGACGTGGACCGACTGGAGGAAGACGTCGAGGCGCCGCGCGGCCAGCGTCAGGCAGTCCTCGAGCTCGCCGTCGTCGCCGTCGTCGTCGTCGCAGAAGAGGGCCAGCACCTTGAGCGCGTTCTGGAGGTAGACGTTCTGCACGCGCGCCGGCAAATTCGTCACGCGCGGGTGCGTGAGGATGTCGACGACGCGGTACCGCGGCCGCTCCTTGGGGAACTTGGGCAGGTCGCCGTCGTCGTCGTCCTCGTCGTCGTCGTCGTCGTCGTCGTCGTCGAAGAGCTCCGCCGCGTACTCGCCCGCGATCCACGCGGCCGCGGACAGCACGTCCGCGATCGACTCCAGGCCCTGGCCGACGGCGAGCTTGTCGTCGAGCAGCAGGCAGACCATGTCGCGCGCCGCGTAGCGCCGCACGGGCCGCACGCGCATCGTGATGTCCACGAGCTGCTCCGCGAGGAGCGCGCCGTGCGCGGACCCCCGGAGGTGCGCCAGCCGCACGAGGACGGAGAGGTACCAGACAAAGTCCGACAGGTAGGAGTACTTGTCGCGGCTGCACATGTGGACGATGCGCGAGATGAGCTCGTCGCGGTAGGCGCCCTCGGCGCGGTTCACGTGCGCCAGCAGCTTGACGACGAGCTCCTCCAAATTCTTCCGCGTCACCATGCCCGTCAGCAGCTCCAAAGCCCGCGTGCGGATCGTCACGTCGTCGTCGCTCAGGCAGAGCAGCACGAGCTCCTTGTGCTCGACGACGGCCTTGGGGTGCGACTTCATGAGCTCCACGAAGCCCACGAGCCCCAGATACTTCAGATTCTGGTCCGCGTCGTCGATGAACTGGCGGAGGTGGTCCGCGCACAATCGCACGACCCCCGGCACGTTGCGGCTCTCCGTGCCGTCGGCCTTCTTCGTGAACGGTAAGGCTAAGGTCAGCGTGTGGATGCACTCGTACTGGAGCGACTTGGCCGCCGTGTTCTGGATGATCGTCGCGAGCGGCTCCAGGAGCTTCCGCGCGAGCCGCGGCTCCTGGGGCACGAGCGCGCCCATGAGCTTGACGACCTTGATGAGCATCCAGTTGTTCGACGACGTCGTCAGCAGCCGGAAGAACTGGGGCGCCATGGAGAGGTAGTTGTTCGGGTTCTTGTTCGCGAGCTCGCAGACGACGTTGACCGCGCACGACGTCACGGCCGGCTCGCCGTCCGCCAACCGCTCCTTGAGCTTCTCGAAGGTGAGGCGCAGGCCCTGCGGGTACTTGACGAAGAGCTTGAACATGGACGACACGGCCTTCTTGCGCACGTAGGGCTTGCTGTGGGACATGAGGAGCACGGAGTCCTGCAGCAGGTCGCGGGCCAGGTCCTTCGTGACGATGTTCGCGAGGCAGTTGACCGCGAGGCCCACCTCGTACTGCGACGTGCTCTGGAACTCTTTCTTGAGCAGGTTCGTCGTCAGCAGCACGACGTCCGTGGACTCGCTGAAGCACTGGCACGCCGCGAGGTAGCCGATGCGCTTGTGCGCGAACCGCGCCTGCGACATCGTCTCGACGATCGCGAACGACGCCCACGACACGTCGTAGCCCATCATCTGCAGGTACGTCAGCTTCCGCACGGCCTGGGCCTTGACGTAGGGGTCCACGTTCCGCAGCTCCTGCTTGCATTCCGCGATGGCCTGCGAGATGAACGCGCCGGGCTCGCGCTTGTTCGCGCGGATGCCCTTGACCTGCGCGCGGGGGCGGTTTACCGTCGTCGTCGGGGCGGCGCGGGCGGCGCGGGCGCGCGGTCGCGACGGCGCGCGCGCTCCGCCGCGCGCGCGCGCGCGTCGTGCGCGCTCTCCCGGTTCGCGCGGGAACAGTTTCCCCGGCGCCGGCGCCGCGCGAGGTCCTGCAGGCTCTTCTCGAACATGGCGCCGACGGGCCGCGGGCGGCGCGCCCGAGTTCAGGGAGCCCCGCGACGCCCGGCGGCTTTAGGAACGTGTCGTCGGCCGCGGCGACGCTGCCGAGACGATCGATCGAGGCGACGCCAAGTCCGGCTCGGTTTGGGCGAGCTGCAAACCTCGCTGTGGCAAGCCGCATCGGCGCCTCGCGCACCGAGCCGCGTCGCACGTCGCATTTGCAGCAGCATGGGTCCGCCGATCGCGATGAGCCATGCGCACACGCAGCGTCTTGTTCAATCGATGCTGGAAACGCGCGCGCAATGACATCGTTTTGCCGTGCCACAAAACACCTCCTGACATCGTTTTGCAGTGCCAAAAACACAATCTCCCCGCCCGCAGCTCGCGACGGCCCTCGCCGCGGCGCTCGTCGGCGTCTTCTGCGAGCGCGTGCGCGTGCGGCGCAGCCTGCGCATCACGCGCGCGCCGGGCTTCAAGGCCTGGCGCATGTCCAAATGGATCAAGCACAACGGCCGCGTCGAGACGCAGGGCCTCGTGGGCACGGACAACAACGGCACCGTCGGCGAGCAGACCGCGCCAGGCGCTCGAACGCCTCGGCGCGATCCTCGACGAGGCCGGCTCGTCCAAGAACCAGCTCCTCTCCGTCACCATCTACCTCAAGGACCTGGACCGCGACTTCGAGGGCATGAACGCCGTCTACGACGCGTGGCTCGGCGACGAGAAGCCCACGCGCGCCTGCGTCCAGACGAAGCTCGGCCACGGCTGGCTCGTCGAGATCCGCGCGAACGCCGCGGCCTAGTGCTAAGTGTCTACGGGCGGCGAGGGGGCGGCGTCGTCGGGCGGAGGCGGCGCGACGGCTCCGGCCGCGGCGTCGTCGGGCGGCGGCGGCGGTGGCGCGGCGACGTCGCCATTCGGCGTCGCCGCGATCGCGTCGGCGATGGCCGCCGCGAGCTCCGGGAGCGCGAGGAGGTCGTCGGCGACGTCGCGCGCGCCGGCGACGCCCGCGCCCCAGCCGAAGACCCAGACGCGGTCGCCGTCCGCGAGGGCCGCGACGGCCGCGCCGTCGCCGGCGGCGAAGGCGCGGTTGTCGAGGACCGTCGCGACGACGTCGGCGGGCAGTACGCCGCCGGGGTTGGGCACCGCGCGGCACGCGAAGCCGCCGTCGCCCTCGAAGAGCGCGTGGCGCTCGAGGTCGACGGCTTCGAGCGTCGCGGAGACCTCCGCGCCGTCGAGCCGGCAGCGCGCGGCGAGCGGGCCGGCGCCCGCGGCCGCCGCGACGGCCGCGGCGGCGCGGAAGACGCTCGCGGCGTCCGCGCCCGCGAGCCGGAGCGACCCGTCCGGGTCGTCGCGCCGCGGCAGCTGGAGCCGCGCGCCGCTGTCGCGCTCGATGCGCTTGATCGTCGCGCCGCGCGCGCCGACGACGCGGCCGCGGCGGTGCTCGGGCACGTCGACCATGACGACGAGCGACCGCTTCGGCCCGCGCGGGCCGCGCCGACCGCGGCCGCGACCGCGACCGCGACCACGGCCGCCGCCGCCGCCGCCGCCGGTGCGCGGGTTGCCGTTGCCGCCTTGCTGCGGGAAATTGGGAAACTGATCAGCGCCGCCGCCGCCGCCGCCGCCGGAGGCGACGAAGCTCATCGATGCTCTGCACTAGCGGCGCGGGAATGCGAGAGACATCATGCATGGGCAAAGCCGCAAAGGCAGCACCTCTGCAACATGAAGTTCAAGCCGACTAAACCCAGCACCGGTTACAGGAGCACTCGAGGCCCGTGGTGTCGTTGGGGAACTTCGCCGGCGCGTCCGCTCCCGGGCAGTAGGCGGGCCTGGCGATGGGCGCGACGTCGCCGGGCGTCGGGACGTAGGGCCCGTAGTAGGACCGCGAGCCGGAGAGGTTGCGGGACGCGTGCGTGTGGAGCACGGGCTGGAACGGTTCCACAAGACTCTCGCAGTAGCAGGGCCCGTCGTCCGGCGCGCAGTAGAGCCTGCACGGCGGCATCGACGCGTTCGTGAACGGGTTGAGGACGACGAGCGGCGCCTCGGCGACGAGCTCCGTCATCCGCGCGCCGCGCGCCATGTCCGGCGGGAAGACGGGCGCGCCGTCCATGAGCTTGGCGCAGATCTCGCTGTCGCGGTACCACTCCCAGACCGAGCCGTCGCTCTCGAAGAGCAGCGAGCAGTCCCGGGAATGTGCCTACCGAGTGCGACGGGGTCGGATTTCTTCACATCTTCGGGCAAAATTCACACGAAACGACACTTCTGTCGCTCGACGCTGGAGCGCGCCTTCTCGGCCCAGGTCGTCGTGTAGAGCGCCTGCCGGGTCGGGTAGCGGTAGTCGACGTCCGCGATGGAAGAGCCGTGCGCCTCGGCGTACATGTACATGGTCGTGTTGTAGTTGTCGGGCGTCGCGACGGGGTGCGACGCGTTCGCCGGCAAATCGTCGACGTAGTGGCACGCGCGGCAGCTCATGGACCCCGCGAGCTCGAGCGCGCCGTACGCGTCGCCGGAAGCGGGCGGGAGCTCGCTCACCAGCGGCGCCGCGGCCAGCACCGCCGCGGCCTCGCGGCGCGCCTCGGCGCCGAGATGATGGGCGAAGAGGAATGCGGCGTCGTTGCAGCGCGCCGCGCGCAGGGCGTCCGACGGGGCGGCGCCGTCCGCGGCCCGTTTCCCGCGGCGCGACGCGGACGTCGCCAGCCAGTCCGGCAGCGACCGGCGGTCGCCGCTCGCGCCGTAGATGTCTTGGAGGTCAGCGTCGCGCACGGCCGCGAGGACATCTATAATGTTGTGCAACTCGTCGAGGTGGAATGACGCGCAGGGCTTCGTGGGGATGGTCCAAGCTGTTGAAAGGGCTGCATTTAAGGCGCTCGAGACGTCGCGTTCCAGCGCGAAGCGCAGACCCAGCGGCTTCGGCCGGTGCGCACGCGCGAGGTCCGAATCCGTCAACTCGCGGCTCTCCGCAGCGACGAGCAGGAGCAGGAAAATGGATCCCAAGAAGCTCGCCATGACATCGAATGGGCACGGCACCGTTCTACTTTGAAGACTTTTTAAGGGGCAAATTTTGACCTGCTCGCCGCTCCCTGTGGAGTTTTGCAATTTTGCGTGCAATGGCAGCGCTTTGCACAGTGATTTGACCTGTTGAGGGTGCGGGACGCTATGGGCGCCTCGCGACACAAACCAAGCGGCGTGCGTCCACGCACCATCCTACTATGCTTTCTGGCCGCCGTCGCCGCGATCCAGCTCTGGGCGCTGAGCTCGCACCAGCCGGCGAGCGCTGCCGGCGGGAGCGACGCGACGGTCCTGGAGCTCGAGCTGCCGCGCGGCGAGCCGCAGCCGGGATACAGCGGCTACTATTGCAAGGAGGACGGCCTCAAGTGCCACACGGCGAGCGGCAAGTGCTGGAAGGCGACGGTCTGCAACGAGCCCGCCGGCGCGCCGCCGCCGCGCGCGCCGCCGCCGCCCCCGCCGCCGCCGCCGCCGCCGCGAAAACCGCCGCCGCCGCCGCCGCCGCGCGCGCCGGCGCTCCGCGGCGCGGCGAGCGGCGGCAAGAAGAAGACCATCGCCTACGCCATCTCCGTCACCTCCGACGGCGGCAACTGGAACGGCATCGACGGCGCGGCCGTGCTCGGGCACAGCGCGCCACCGCAACGGCTCGCGCTACGACGCGGCTCTGGTCGCCTTCGTGGCGCCGCAGGTCTCCGAGGCCGGGCGGAGCAAGCTGCGGCGCGTCGGGTTCCGCGTGCTCGAGAAGCCGTTGCCGGTCGAGGTCGAGGACATCGAGGGCGACTTTTTGCGGTCGCGGATTTCCTCGAACGGCTGCTGCGGCGCGTGGGAGCTGCTCAAGCTCTACGCGTGGTCCCTCACGGAGTACCACCGCGTCGTCCACCTCGACATGGACTCGCTCGTGCTCCAGAACTTCGACGAGCTCTTCGACGACGAACCCGTCGAGGGCGCGGCGACGCTCAGCGCCGCGGCCGTCGCCGCGAACGACCGGAACCTGAAGAACGTCGACGCGAGCCTGCCACCGATCGCCGGCGTCCACGGCCAGTACACTTTCGACTGGAACATGGCCCAGAGGCCCTGGGGCGCGAACCCGCCCGTCCAGGGCGGCTTCTTCGTCGCCCGGCCGAACCTGGACGTCTTCGAGGAGATGGTCGCCATCGTCAGGAAGGGCGACTTCCGCGGCGGCTGGGGCGGCACGCGCGCGGGGTCCTTCTACGGCGGCATGACGATCCAGGGCCTGCTGCCCTACTACTTCCGCCACGTGCGGCCCCGGCTCGGCCGCGAGGTCCGGGGCTGCGTCTACAACAACATGGCGTCGAACCCGCGGTCCGCGGGCGGCTTCGGCAAGGGCGAGTGCCGCGACGGCACGGTGCCCGGCGCCGGCGCCTACACGGGCGACATCGCGAAAGGCGACTGCGACGACTGCCGCCTGACGGACGTCGCGGCCGTCAAGGTCGTCCACTTCACGATCTGCCAGAAGCCGTGGATCTGCCACGGCACGTCGACGAGCTGCTACTACTGCAAGATCTGCAACGAGTTCCACAAGCTCTGGTTCGCCATCCGCGAGGAGTTCGAGCGCGAGCGCGGCGTCTACGACGCGAGAAAGTACGACAACCCGAAGACGGCGCAGCGCCGCGGCATGTGCACGAAGTTCTCCGAGGCCGGCTACATCCCCATCGACGTCGACCACCTCCCGGAGTCGTAACATTTTACTCGGAAGGGCACAGGGTAGTGTTGCCCGTCGTCGTGCCGTCGGACCAGAAGACGCAGGCGCCGTAGTTCGACGTGCCGAGGAGCGCGCCGACGGCGTCGTCCGCGTCCGCGCCAAAGGCCGGCGCCGCGTATTGGCCGAGGAAGACCTTCGTGCCCGACGCGAACTCGCGGCGGAAGAGGCAGCCGGAGACGTCCTTGTGGCTCGGCTTGTCGTCGAGGAGCGTGCAGTTGAGGCCGTGGCTGCCCTTCGCGACGGTGAAGTCCGACTTGGGCGCGCCGAGGCTCTTGGAATATTCGGGGTACTGGTAGAGCCACGTGTCGCAGGCGCTCTCCCCGGCGCCGCTCCAGCCGCCGCCGACGCCGAAGTATCCGTGCTCGTGGACGCCGATGAGGAAGTTGGCCAGGCTCGAATTGAAGTTGCGGAGCGACTGCTGCGCGTTCTGCGCGTGGAAGTCCAACAGACACGGCCCGCCCGCGCAGGTCTTCGCCGCGTTCCAGGCGTCGACGTCGAGCATGCTGCCGCCGCGCTCGAGCATGCCGCCCTGGCAGAGCGCGAGCGCGCTGGTGGTAGGATAATTTGAGATGAGCCTATATATTTCGCCGTCGTCTCGGAACATGGCACAAACGCGGGACGCGGGAATTCGCGTCTTGTCCGGCCCGATGGCCGCGGCGAGCGCCGCGACGGACGCGTTGAGCCCCGCGGCCCAGGCGTCCTGCTCGTCCTTCGCGCAGCCGTTGGTCACGCTCGACCAGAAGCCGTTGCGGTCGCCGTCGATGAACGCGCCGTCGACGGCGCCCGCTTGTACGGCGTCCGCGACGCGCGCGACCCACTTCGCCTGCATCGCCGCGTCGCGGAAGTCGTAGGCGTAGAACGTGAAGTCGAGGCCCTCCTCGGACCAGGTCTGGGTGACGTAGGACCCGTTGCACTTGAGAGCCGCCGTCGCCTTGTTCGCCTCGACCCAGTGGCCCAGACCGTAAAACGACCGCGCGACGTCCGATTCGACGTACATGTAGCAGTCCGTCGTCGGGCTCAGCTTCTTGACTTCCGCGCAGCTCGCGGCGATCTTGCCCTCGGCGTCGTCGGACACGGGGGCTTGCGTGAGCTTGTGGTTCTTCTCGAAGACGACGAAGGGCTTGGACGCGAGGGTCGCGAGGGCGCCGGCGTTCCACTCGCCGGTCGTGTTGGCGCAGTGGACGTAGTTCTGGATCGTGTCCCAGCTCCAGGACGGCAGGGCGCCGGCCACGGCGAGGGAGGTGGCCAATAAGAGGCGCAGGCAGCCCATTGCGGTCGGAAGGAAGACCGAGTCGAAGAATTACTGGTTCAAGCAAGCCTGCAAGCTGGCTAAAATATTAAAAGAAACGCTCAAACAAGCTCGCCCTCGCGGAGCAAAAGGAGCTGGGAGAAGGCCCAGTCGCCGAGGATGACGGCCAGCCCCCCCGCGACGACGGAGGCCGTGATGGCCCGGGGCACGTCGCGCGGCGCGATGTTCCGCGCGCGGGCGATGAGCTCCGCGACGGCGATGATCAGCGCCATGTAGGTCATGGACTTGAGGGCGTTGTGGAACAGGGGCCAGGTCGCGAGCTCGACGGCGTTGCGCCGCAGCGGCCACGCGCGGTCGCAGCGCAGCGGCGGCGTGAGCGCGTCCCGCGCGGCCGCCCAGTACCACGCGGCGTCGTCGGCGTCGCCGATGCCGTAGGCCTCGCCGATGGGGCCGCCCAGGGCGATGGCCAGGCCGCTGCCCAGCGCCGTGAGCACGGGCGCGGCCGCGAGCGCCGCGAGGAGCGCCGGCGCGAGCGTGAAGCGCCGCGGCGAGATGCCCAGCGTCCGCAGGAGCTTGTTCTGCGACGTCGCCTGCATCGTCGCGACCTCGCCCGCGTAGGAGCCGCCCACGCGGCCGCTGAGGAGCAGCGCCGCGAGGAGCGGGCCGAGCTCGATCGTGAAGAGCTTCGCGATGCCGATGGCGTAGAGCGCGCGCTTGGCCCGGGGCAGCGCTGTGGAGACCATCAATCGGGCCTTGGTCTTGACCATCATCTTCGTCATCGTCTTCTGCATCGTGGACGCGTCCTTGAGGAGCGAGTCCACGAGGGGCAGCACCTCCGCGTCGAGCACCGCGTCGACCTGCGTGGACACGTCGAGGCGCGACAGCAGGTCCGCGGAGAGCATGGCGATGGCGACGCCCGCCGCGGCGAACGCGAGCAGGATGAGCGGCAGCGAGAAGCAGAGGTAGTCCGCGAGCTTGGCCCGCGCGCGCGGCCCGAACTCGTAGGCCGTCCCCGACCGCGCGTCGCCGAGCAGCAGCGCCGCGAGGCCGCCGGCCGCCGGCGCGTCGCCGCCGGCGCGCCGCGGCGCGAGCGCGACGCGCGTCGGCGCCGCGTCGACCAGCGCGACGAGCGACGGCTGGTGGCTCACGAGCAGGAGCGCGGCGCCGTGGCGCTCCCGCAGGGCCCGGAGCTCGCCGGCGACGGCCCGGGCGCTCGACTCGTCGAGACCCGTGAAGGGCTCGTCGAGGACGACGACGCGCTTCCGCTGCGCCAGCTGCAGCGCGAGCGACGCGCGCCGCGCCATGCCGCCGCTCAGCTCCTGCGGCATCTTCCGCCGGTCGCGCGCCCAGTCGAGGCCCACGGCCTCGACGAGCCGCTTCGCCTCGGATAGCGCGTCGCCCGCGGGCCGCGCCGCCGCGGCGAGCGCGCAGCGCACGTTGCCCTCGACGCTCAGCGCGTCGACGAGCGTCGTCTGCTGGAACATGGCGCCGCACCGCTCTGCGACGGGCACGCCCGCCGCCCAGTCGACGGCGACGGACACGCCCAGGGACTTTTCGAGGGCGCCGCGCCGCGCGCCGAGGCCCGCGACCTCCGCCGCGATCGTGCTCTTGCCCACGCCGCTCGGGCCCTGCAGCCAGACGACGTCGCCGGGGCCCAATTCGAAGGACACGGCGGTCTCGGCGAAGGGGCATTTGGACGCGTCGACGCACCGCGCGGAGACGCGCACGACGCTGCCGGCCATGGCCACAGCTCGCTGTGCTATGTGTCGCGTCAATGTTTGCCTTTAACAAAGATCAAATTGAATTCAACATGCTCGAGCAGCCCGAAAACGAATTGTTTTTTGCCGGCAGCACGACGATCGACGTCGAATCAATGCTGCTCCTTGTACCTGTTTATGTTAAAAAACTTTATCATCAGATTCTAGTGTATCAAACCGAACTTAAATGCTTCACCCGAAAACCTTGACAAAGTCGCGTCGCCCTTCCGCACCGCCGCGCGCCGCTGCCCGGGTGACCCGGGTCGCGCCGCGCCCGCGACCGCGCCCGTCGGCCCATCGCGTCCGCGGCCCATGGAGGACCCGACGCGCCAGGCGCGGCGTACGACGCGCCACACGGGGACGGGCGTCGGCGCGACGTCGACGTGCCCCATCTGCGGGCTGTCGTTCCCGACGAATCGCATCGCCGAGCACGCGGACCGCTGCGCGGCATCGACGTACGTCGACGAGCTGGAGGCGACGACGGGACGCGGACGGGCCCCGCCGGGCGGCGGCCTCGGCGCGCGCGCCGCGTCCGGTCGGGGCGCCGCGCGCGCCGGCCGCCGCGGGACGGGAGAGGAAGGCGGCAACGAATACGCGCCCTTTCTAGATTACGGCGCCGCCGGCCGGGCGCCGCCGACGAAGCGCGCCGCGCCGCGGCCCGCGCCGCGGCCCCGCGGCGCCGCGGCGCCCGCGGCGCCGCGCGCCGCCGCGCCGCGCGCGCAGCGCGCGCCCGCGGAGCCGCCGCGGTCCGACGACGCGCCGCGCCGGGGCGGGGCCCCGCTCGCGCACGGCAAGACGTGGCGCGTGCCCGGCGGCGAGGCCGCGCGGCTCCGCGGCGGCTCCGTCATCTACGCCGCCGAGCTCCCGCCGCACGTCCTCGAGCGCGTCGCGCGCGCGGAGAGCGTGCTCGCGTCGCTCCGGCCCGAGGCCTGCTCCTTCACGACGGGCAAGGGCACGCTGGACCGCAAGCGGACCAACGAGTACCGCCGCCGCGTCCAGGAGGAGGAGTACCAGCTCGAGCTCTACCGGTCGACGCTCGGCGCGCCCGCGCCGCCGCGGCCGCCGCCGCCCGAGACCCGCGACGCCCGGGCCGAGCGCCGCAGCGCCGCGGACGACGCGCCGCCGCCGCCGCCGCCGGAGCCCCACCAGCCCAAGCTCCTGCTCCGCGTCCACGTCGGCGACGACGGCCGCGCCGCCGCCGTCGCCGTCGCCGACGACGACGACGACGGCGCGCCCGCGCCGCCCGCGCCGCCGCGCGGCCCCCGCGCCCGGCGACGCGCGGCCGCCCCGCCCCGACGCCGCG